TTGACTTGGCGACATGATACTGACTTGGAAGAGACACATGAAGGTCAAAATTCCAAAATTTTAGTATTTTAACTAAGAAAAGAGTTACAAAATTATTAACCGCCGGTTAACCGAAAATTATATGCTTCGGTCGGTGGTAGGAACTCCTAATAAGTAATTCGGTTAACGAGTAACCGAAAATCGGTTATTCGATTAACCGACAATAACCGAAAATAACAGGCCAACCACCCCCCTCACCAAAACGACGTGAAAATACCCGGTTATGAAGTTTATAACTTTATGTTGTTGAATTTGAGACATTAATTTAGTGATTTAGATTTATTTTCTATGCAAAAGTGATTGAGACTTTACTTTGGGTGTGATTTAGATGCAGAAATGTAGGTTAGAACCTTTCATTTTAGGCGATTTTAATAATTTTACCCGGTTAAAATCGAACCACAATCATTTTTTCGGTTATCTCGATTAACCGACCAACTAACCGATAACTGACCTGTCGGTTATTGGTTAACCGAGGCATTATTGTCGGTCGGTGTTCGGTAGGGGGATATGGTGGTTCGGCTAACCGGTAATCGACCAATTGGTTATCGGTTATAACCGAACCGAACCGAATTTCATCCTCCCGCACATAGATTACACAGTTATGAAGCGAAGGTGATCTGATCCGTGTACGGTTTGTCTCAGTTTTTTGTGTTTATTATTCGTATAGCGTTATATCTGTGTTTTACTAATCCCAAAATGATCTATTTTTACTGACTCATATTGCTTGAAAGGATTAGGGATTACAGTCAGAGTTACGCGAAGGCGACAATTAGAGGAGGTGTCATTGATGATCTGAATACAAGATAAAGAGCATGGTGTACTTGGTCTTTAATTTCTATTTATTGGTATAAATAATTTATTGGAGAGTGATGTAAATTCTCAAAGGAATATTCACAAAAATCTCACTATTTGTACAGTTTTGTGACCAAGGATATCTATTCTATCAAATATTCGCTCATCACTATTTGTACTATTCATAACAATTCATAATCGTCATATATATTATCGTGCGTGGAAGAAACATTCGTCACAGGTGTGTTCTTTCATGACAACTGTCATGGTATCATGTCACTGATTAAAAAAGTTTGTCACCAATGTTATTACATGTAACAATAACTTTGTCACGAAAATCTAATTTTGTAACAATAGAAATGTCAGTAAAACCTCCTTATATGACAAAGCTACTACATCAATGAGCCAATCGTGACAATTGAAACCGATGACGTTTGAGTTGGTGACGACGCAAATGAGACACTAGAGTATACTATTCGTTACGAACAAAATTTGTCATGATTGAGTATATCTTTTGTGACGGAAAATCCTGTCATGAATATAAGATATATATGTTAGTTATAGTTTTCAATAAGTGTTGCTTAAAATGGTGTTGCATATGGGTATACATACACAACACTTTTTTCTTTGTTACAAAAAGTAAAAAAACTATTGGCTATTACTTTAGGTAACACCACTTGTAGGTGACACTATTAAAAGTGTTGCTTATTGCATATGCAACACTTTGGACACGTTTTACAACACATTTCACATGTTGGCAAAAATCACTTTTCCTGTAGCGGTGAGTTTTGGCTATGTTCACGGTCCAGGCCAGATCTTCACGCCCGTGAGCTGGGATCGTGAACTGGACGCGATCAGGCTATAAAAGGAGAGCTCAAAGGAAGAAAAGGGAGAGCCCAAAGTGAGAGAAACCTTATTCTTCTTCTTCTTCTTAAAACTCTAGAGAGAGAAAGCCACCAACCAAGAAGGAGAAGATGCTAGGGTTTGCTCCAAGTCAAGATTTGGGAAGCTCCTCTTCAAGAGAGGATCTCTACAAGCACAAGGAAGGACTGAGGCATCACAATGAAGGTTTTTTCCTTTGTGTTCTTCCTTTGTCTAGCATGGAGTAGTCTCCTATTCACTTGGGTGTTGTAGAACCCTAACTTCTACCATGTAATTGATTGTGTGGATTGAATGATTGTGTGTGGGTGGTGTTTAATTTAAGATTCGAGGTATTGTTCATGGTGATTGTGCATTTTGTGTGCTTGGCAATCTATTGTGCTACTCTAACCTAGCTTAGAGAGAAACCCCATTATCTTAAGAGGCTCAAATTAAGCTGAGTCTTCTTAGGCATTCCATGCCTCCTAACTAGGTTAAAGTAAGACAAACCTCTAAACTCGAATTAGACACCTAGGTTAATTGTGATTAAGCCGGTCCAAACCTCGGTTTGAGGGAGAAGGTAAGTCAACCCTCTTTTGCTTGGACCAAGAGGGTTACAATCGTAGCCTGTAATGATTCCTTGGCCTAGCGATAGATAATGTGGTTTCCAACCACTGTTGCTCCTCCTAACGGTTCGCAATCACCTTGTCGCACACCGAAGCATTCGATCCCATGGTTCATGGTAGTTAGTTAGGGGGAAACAACCCCCTAGTGAAGCTTCTCACCATCAGTTTCAATCCTTTTACTTTTCAAGTCTTGCATTTTTAATCATATATTGTAGAGATTCTCACAAACTTCATTCCGCTAGATAATGTTTCAAACAATTAAAGTATGGGTACATGGCTCGGCCCGGGTTGATATTTAAACATACTTGCCCTCTATTGCACCCATTTAAGGTTTATACTTGGGCTTTAGGTAAGATTTAAGTATGATATTCATAGCGAGTCAATGCATTATAAAAGCTAATTAATAAAATTTTAATATGTTTGGATAATATAAAAGAATCTAAAAAATATTTAAATAAAAAATACACATTAGCCATAGTTTAATTGATATAATGATATACCTTTTGGCCCAAGGAAAAACATAAGAATATCTGTATTTCCGTATTTTTTACCGGCGATATGGCCTTCAAAAGGCCATTTCGGGCCATACACACGTGCGAGTCCGGATCTGGTGACTAAGGGGGGGTGCTTAGTCACTTGGCTAAGCCCCCCTCAGCCCTTGGATCAATCTAATGGTGTAGATAATGGAAGGACTATTTTATTAATAAGAAGGGCAATTCTGGAATTAGAAAAAATTCAAAAAAAAAAAAATTTCTCCACCTTCTCTTCTGCGCTGCCAGCCACGGGATGAAGGCGACGATGGAAAAGAGGCGACCGGCGGCGACGATGGAGAGAGAGAAAGGAGACCTCGACCACGACGGCGACGGCGACGATGGAAAGAGGGAAAGGAGATCGCGACGGAGGCGAAGGCGTTGAAGAGAGAGAAAATAGATCTGGTCTTGGCGGAGGCGGAGAGAGAGCGCCGGCGACAATGGAGGAGAGAGAGGCGGCGCGACGATGGAGGAGAGAGAGGCGGCGCGACGATGGAGAGAGAGAGAGAGGTTGCGATGGCAGTAGATTGAATCAGCGGCGGCAGCGGTGGAGAGAGAGTCGACGGCGGCGGCAGCGGTGGAGAGAGAGTCATCTGAAGGAAGAACAGTGATTTGTATAGTTTGTATGTTTTGTAACATTAGTTTGTATTGTTAGTATTTTTGTACAAAATGTCAGTATGGTTTGTATGTTTTTCTTTGACAGTTTGTACTCTTAGTATGTTTTTCTTTGACAGTTTGTACTCTTAGTATGTTTTTCTTTGACAGTTTGTACTCTTAGTATGTTTTTCTTTGACAGTATGGTTTGTATGTTTTTCTTTGACAGTTTGTACTCTTAGTATGTTTTTCTTTGACAGTTTGTACTCTTAGTATGTTTTTCTTTGACAGTTTGTACTCTTAGTATGTTTTGCTTGTATTCTTAGTATGTTTCGCTTTGTATTGTAAGTACTAATAATTTGTATACTTTATATGTATTGATTTGTGATGCAAAAAACATTACAAACAAACATTACAAACAGTACAAAACATACTACACGTACAGAATATCACTACTTACAATACAGATTGGTAAACTTGTATTACAAACAAATGAATACAAAGTATACAAATCATAACATAAAAGTATACAAACTTGAATAACAAAAGTTACAAATACAAATCAATGAATAGAAAGTGTATAAATCATAACATAAAGTATACAAACTAGACAAACAAACATTACTAACATTACAAACAGTACAAAAGAAACCACCAAACATTACAAACATTACAAAATAACAAACATTACAAACATTGCAAACAAACATTACAAACATTACAAACAAACATTACAAACAGTACAAAGCATACTACACGTACAGAATATCACTACTTACAATACAGATTGGTAAACTTGTATTACAAACAAATGAATACAAAGTATACAAATCATAACATAAAAGTATACAAACTTGAATAACAAAAGTTACAAATACAAATCAATGAATAGAAAGTGTATAAATCATAACATAAAGTATACAAACTAGACAAACAAACATTACTAACATTACAAACATTACAATGTATACAAAATAGTAATATAAACATTACAAACATCACGAACTCAAATACTGTTGTCGGAAAACCATCCACCACCGTCTCTGGTCGCCGGAAAATTGCTCCGCCGTCGCCGGAAAAGTTGACTCTCTCTCTCTCTCTCTCTCTCTCATATTTTTGGGCAGGGAAGCCGCAACCAAAATGGGAATGGGGATTATAAAATCCCTCCCTGCTGTTATTTATCCCCGGCGCCGTTAGATGGGGAATGGAATTCCCTAACCGCCGGGAAGCCGAAAACTCCACGAGGGTGGCGGACGGGATGCGTAAATCACGAACAGGGGAAAAAACAGTCGCCGCCGCCGGTGACGGGATGCCGTAAATCACGAACAGGGAAAAAAGCCGCCGCCGCCGGTGACGGCAAAACCCTCGGCCAGGAAACAGATTCAAGTTATTTAATAATTAAAAATTATAAAGTGTTGTGATTACCAGATTACCCTTCATTAAATCAGATCAATTACAACCATTAGATTTAAATGAGTTTGGATGGCTAGGATTCACTTAGTCATGTGACTAAGGGCCCCCCTTAGTCACCTGATCTTAGCCCCACACGTGCCCCAAATCGTACCAATCCGATCCCGACTCCCCGACGGACCCGGCCCGAACACGCAGATCTCGAACTCCTCCGCCCTCTCTTTCTCTCTCTCTCTCCAACGACCTGGTGTGCTCGTCTCCGTTTTGACTTCCGCTTACAGATAAGCATCTCCCAACAAACCGTGATCTCGCCTTTGGGAGACCGACGCCGACCCCTTTTTTTCGTTACGTATCGTCGGCTGAGCTATGGGAGTGCCGGCGTTCTACAGGTGGCTCGCGGACCGCTACCCGCTTGCAATTGCCGATGTTGTGGAGGAGGAGCCGCAGGCGGACGCGAGTGGCATCCCTAGACCTGTTGATTTCTCCAGACCTAACCCTAATGGCATGGAGTTCGACAATCTGTACTTGGACATGAATGGAATCATTCACCCTTGCTTCCATCCCGAGGGCAGGGTATGCTTTTTTTGTTTCCCCCCTTTTTTCCTCTAAATGTAGGGCTTGCTGAATTACTACTGATTGTCTCATCATTGTCTCCCATGCCTTTTCAATTCTTGTTCGGAATGAGAATTGGTGGAGTGTTGAATGTAGCTTTTGTTTGTCAAGTTTGGGAGCGCTAGCTGATCTCTGAGCTGTCTTGAGTTCGTGAAGTTGGTGTCTTGATAGTGTCTTCTTTTCTTTGTAAGCTTCATTTGTGATCGTGAGTGGACTTGTAAACATGAGGGGCTAAGGAGAAATGTGCTGCTAAGCGGAATGTTTTTGTTTGTTTTGTGAGTGATAGATTGGCCCAGAGGTGTAAGTGATTGGACAATGTGAATGACTTCAGTCTCGATCAGCGTGATTTGATGAATTGGTATATAGCTAGGTGCAAGAGAATAAGATGCTGAAGTGAGGAATACATGTTCTGTGTTTTGTGTGAAAGTTTTTGTTGTTTAGACTGTAGTTCCTATAAGAAGTGATTTTGGGACGGGTTAATCTTAAGGGAAAGAGATTGGAAAAAATGTGTGTGTGGGTGTGGGTGGGTGGGTGGGTGGGGGGGGGGGGGGGTGTTCTATGTGTATAAATGTCATTGCTTACAGGACTGTCATCAGAATCGAAATGGGGACAAATGCTAGTTGTTCCTGCTTTCTGTGATTGTTCCTTTATTGTGAAAGACATTGCCTTGGGGAATATTTCTGGCCTTCCTTCACCATAACTGCAGTTTTCGTACTTTGAAATGATAAAATTGTGTGGTGTATCCTAATACTATAAACTAATGCTTTCTTTTACAGCCAGCACCGGCTACTTACGATGATGTGTTCAGGTCAATATTTGATTACATTGACCATATATTTTCATTGGTTCGCCCAAGGAAGATTCTCTATATGGCGATAGGTAAGTTTCACATCACATTTGTGTCTGTTGCTGTTTAGTATTGTAGTAGTTGATTCCCTTCCCGATTTGGTAGATGGGGTTGCACCAAGAGCTAAAATGAACCAGCAGAGATCTCGTCGCTTCAGAGCTGCCAAAGATGCTGCTGAAGCTGCAGCTGAAGAAGAAAGATTGAGGACAGAATTTGAGGCAGAGGGGAGACTCTTGCCTCCTAAAGAAAAGCCTGAAACATCAGACTCCAATGTCATCACTCCTGGAACTCCATTCATGGCAGTACTATCAAGTGCACTTCAGTACTATATACAATCTAGGTTGAACCGTAACCCTGGGTGGCGGTATATAAAGGTGTGACTGTTCTTCCTTTGCCTTGGTCCCTTTGAGATTGGATCATTCGTTCAGTGTTGAGTAATCCCTTCATATCCTTTTTTTAATTATACATTTGGTTTCCAAGATAGTCTTTTCTGTTCGGACCTATATATTGAGCTACACTGGTTGGCTATTTGAAGGTTCTTCTTTCTGATGCAAATGTTCCTGGTGAAGGAGAGCACAAAATCATGTCATATATTAGATCACAACGCAACCTTCCTGGGTTTAACCCTAACACCCGTCATTGTCTGTATGGCTTGGTAAGTTTCTTTCTCGATGTTTGTCCCTCAGACCCGTGTAGTTCCATTAATTGATATATTATATATGTGTGTGTGTGTGTGTGTGTGTGTGTGTGTTTGCTGATCGCAACTTCCTTTCATTTCTATCAGGACGCGGATTTGATCATGCTTTCTTTGGCTACGCATGAGATTCATTTTTCAATTCTAAGAGAGGTTGAATCTCTTGAAATACTAGCTTACATTCTATATTATCGATGCCCTTAGCTTGTCTAACTTTTTGCTATCCTAACGATGCAGATGGTAACATTTTCTGGACAGCAGGATAAATGTTTTCAATGTGGTCAAGCGGGTCATCTTGCTGCTGAATGTCGCAGTAAGGCTGGAGGTGATCCTCTAGACTGGAATGTGGAAAATGATACACCAATCCACAAGAAAAAGTATCAGGTTGGAGGATGTTCTGCAGTGGAAACCCTTCAATTATTATTCTTTTTTATTTTTTCATAGAATTTATTTTTCTTCTTTTGATGTTCTAACTTGAGTGCTTGTTGCAACAGTTCCTCAACATCTGGGTCTTACGGGAATATTTAGAATATGATTTGGAAATTCCAAATCCTCCATTTGCTATCAACTTTGAGCGCATTGTGGACGATTTTGTATTCCTGTGTTTCTTTGTTGGCAATGACTTCCTTCCACACATGCCAACTTTGGAAATTAGGGAGGTATATTATCATGTTAAAACATCAAATCTTTTGTTCTGCTTGTTTTTTCTCGATTTTCTCATTTACTTGTGCCATGATTATGAATAGTGGAAAATCAGCTCCTCTCTCTGCCCATGATTTAGTTACTTTTGTTCTACTTCTTGATGGTATTGGTTTGGGCTATTCTCCTGATGACCTGATCCAATACTTAAATAGATTTTCATGTTTTCTACCTTATGCATCTTTCAATCAGCCACATAGGAAAAAGGACATACACCATCATGCTTACTAGAAGTTCCTTTTTCAGGGTGCTATAACTTTGCTTATGCATGTTTACCGAAGGGAATTCTCTGCAATGGGTGGTTATCTTACTGATGCGGGTGAGGTAATTTCCAGTTTTACATAAATGTACACTACATATATGTTGACGTATGGATGTTACTTAATGCTCTCACAGAATGCATGTGAAGTATGCTGCATTGCATATTAATGTCTCTGTAATTAGGTATCAAGTTTTCCCCAACTTTTGTCGGATGTATTAGTACGAGGAGTCATGTACAAGTTGTAGAGGCTAATATAGGAGCTATTCAAATAAATAACTGGTGTCCTAAAGATACATATCCGGTGATCTGATTGGGTAAATTAGTATCAATATCTTCTTAATCTGTCTATGTGATGGGAGTGAGTGTTGGAAAATGGAGTGAGTATTAAAGTTTTGTCTGATAAAAATGCCAGGTAGACGAGCACAACCTATCTGCATTTTATGCTCCAGTTGTGTGCTGCCTGGGGCCATCCTAGAGCTCGTAGGAGTTACATATGGTGCTGAACTGGCTGTTTCCTTGATTCAATATTCTACTGAAATAGTGAACAAATTAGAGTGAAATCTCTTCACTTTGTTTTAATACGATTATTATTTATATTGTGCCTACATATAGCTATTGCTTCTCTTGATAAGATTGTGTCACAAGATCTGTTAGATTCTTTGGGTTTGTCGGAAGTTATCTAGCTCAAGTCAATCATTCTACATTTTCAGGTTTTTCTGGATCGAGTTCAGCATTTTATCCAGGCTGTTGCTGTTCATGAAGAACAGATTTTCCAGAAGAGGACTCGAATACAGCAGGTGGTTTCCTTCTCCATGCTGAACTCTCTTTTATTAGCTACTGTACCATGAAATAAACCAGATATTTGTATGGGGTGAATAGATTTGCTTACCACCTTTCCGAACCTAAAATTTTCAAAACAATAATGAGAAGGGAAATGGAAGGGGAAAAGAGAGAATCCAAGTCTTTCTCATGTAAATGGTGTCTAATTTGTTTCAGGCTATAGAGAATAACGAGGAAATGAGGCACAGAGCAAGAAGGGATCCTCAGGAGCAACCTCCGACTCCAGCATCTGCGACAGATAAGGTTAATTATTAATTACCTGCACATAGAAATGCCTTTCAGATAAGTAGGCAATGCAGGAGTTTCTTGTCTAGTGTCTGTGCATGACATAATTGCCAAATCTGTATATGGGTCACATCTTCTAGAAAATCCATTGAATTTTATTATGCTTTCTACATGTCTTTTCAATGGATTAGATGAAGTAATGTTTCCCAGCTTATGTTTCACTTGAGCAGTTATTCTAGGTTAGATTGTATTTACTAAAGCAGCTTTGAAAACATTGTTTAAGCAGCTTCTTTTTGTTTGAGCTACACGAGCTGGAAGAGAATCGTATTAGGGGAAGATGTCAATATTAATAATATTAATTGTGCCTAGTAGTTGGAGTATGTTTTTTAGTACTGCTTACAGCTTCCTTCATTTTAGCCTTTTCTATTTGTGGATGGGAATTCTTCTTTATGTTGGTGAAAGTGGCTTTGAATCCTATGCGTTTCATAGTCATTTCAGTTTTTGGTATGCATATCACCCAAACCCAATGGCAGTTCTGTTGCTTGGGTTGAAAATTCACAATATTGCTCTTGGGTGGCCCTTTGTTTTGCCTACGCATTCGGTTCTATTGCTTTTCAACCGCTGTGCTGACATTTGGTCTTTTTTCTTGTGATTGAATCAATGCCTCACTTTAGCTAAAACCTCTTGAAGTGTATTGGCTTCAACTTGTCTTTGTCGTTTGACTCATTTTCATTCTTGTTAGGTTAAACTTGGCGAAGTTGGATACAAAGAAAGATATTATGCTGAAAAGTTTGATGCATCAACTCCGGAGGAGCTAGACAAAGTGCGAAAAGACGTAGTAAGTTCCTCTCCAAATTTGATTTGACCTTTAGCTTTTCTTTGATTACTCAATATCATTGCTGTATCTGCTATATTTGTCTGGATTGAGATAGTGTATTATGCTTTCTAGACTTCAAAGTCTTTTATCATCCTTCTAATGGTTCTCTTTTTCTGATTTTGTCTTTGGTCTGTATGCTTGGCAGGTTCTGAAATATGTTGAAGGGTTATGTTGGGTATGCCGGTACTACTACCAAGGTGTTTGCTCATGGCAATGGTCAGTATTGTGACTGAATTAAACTACTTTATGCTTCTTCTAAACGCTTTCTTAAACCAACTTGGGTTTTTATTGAATTGCAAGCATTAGCATGCACAAGTGTTGCGCTTGTTAAGTCCAAAGAAATTGTAAGATAGAAAAGTCAGAATATGTTTATGCATATTCATTATTCAATGTGTATGGTAAACCAGAAGATATTTCTTCATGAACCATAGGTTCTCTCTCCTAGCCACCATCCTTTTTGCAGCTTACTTGCCCTTTGAACTGTTTAAAGCGTGGATGCTTATCATTTTGTCAGCTTAAGCAACACTTCAGCCTGCAAGATACATAATTATCTGGTGGTTATGACAGGTTTTATCCATACCATTATGCGCCATTTGCCTCAGACCTTACGGATCTTACCGATTTGGAGATAACTTTCTTTTTAGGCGAGCCATTTAGGCCCTTTGATCAGCTCATGGGAACCCTGCCAGCTGCAAGGTTTTTCTCCTTCTCCTGTGGGTAAATGGTCTTTCCTTGTGCTTTCATTCCAGAGCTGATGCTGGACTTGCGTTTGCTGCAGTTCTAATGCTTTGCCCGAAGAATACCGAAAACTGATGACAGACCCCTCATCACCATTGCAAGCGTTCTTCCCTTCTGGTAACTTTAACTTGATGGGATGGCCATGTCTATGTTTATTGTTTTTATCATTGTTTTCATGTTCCTGTGGTACCAACTCTGTTGTTTCTCCCTGTGGACAGATTTTGACATTGATATGAATGGTAAACGCTTTGCCTGGCAGGTGAATTGTTATCTTTTATTGTCAATCCGACTTTTGAAATTTGTCAGTGATTGGTATTGAACAGTTGAACTTGTCCTTATATTTCCTGTTGTGTTACAGGGTGTTGCTAAATTGCCATTCATTGACGAGAGGAAATTATTATCACAAACAAAGAAGCTCGAGAGTACTTTAACAGTATGCATCTTATTTGTTTTTTCTTTTGACTATTTCCATTGATATAAGTATTTGTAGTACCGTTGGATTATGGATGGACTGTCTGTTATGTTGCTTTACATCACTGATGATTTTTGAGATGAGGATTCTGCTGTGCAGATGTGGAGAATGACAGCATTTTAGTATTGGAATGAGAATTTGAGGTCCTTCATATATAGGACTTGTGGAAATAATAGGACTGACCAGAGTTGGTTGTGTGATAACCTTGAATCTTCTAAATATGCTGCCTTCGGTTTTGGTTGTTTCTGTTTCGGTGTTTCTGAGACCTTAGGAGCTAAACTACCATTGGAGAAGGAGAAGAAGTAGGGTGTAGTTAGGAATTCTAAAAAGTGGAGTTGATGGGATGGTGTAGATCTATTAGTATATAGCCTAACTTTGAACATAGTTTATCTTTTTTCAGACTGGAAGCTGGAATTTGTTTCTGATTATCAGGGGAATTGTTGTATGGAGTCGTGGGGCCTATCATGAATGTGCTCTTTGAATTTTTATATTCCACATAAATATTAAGATTAAACAAATATAATGTTGGTTTTCTAAACCATCCTGATGGTCTCGGGTTTGATATTTGATGCTCTCTGCAATAGCAAGTCATGACTGTCTTGACAAAGAGTGATAATTAATATATTTGGCATATGTAGGAGGAGGAGCGTGTTCGCAATAGTGTGATGCTTGATCTGCTTTATGTCCATCCTGTTCATCCTTTAGCTCAGCAAATTGTCTCCTACTACCATCATAACTATCAGTTACCACCTTATGCAAGATTTCTTTGGGCAATCGACCCAAATGCTAGGTTTGTTCGTAGTATCGATTAATTTTGTAATTTTTCATTGCCTTCCTAAATGATGTGCTTGCTGTAACGTTTTACTGGGTTTTGCAGCGGTGGGATGAATGGATATATTGGGTTGAGCGAAAGAAATGTCCACAGAACCTTTGTTCCATCCCCAGTTAATGGATTGCCGCATATAGAGGATAACCAAGTTTTGTAAGTTTAGCTTCATGGTCTTTCTTTATGAAACTACTATATGAATTCTATGTCATTGTTAGTATCTTCTTTGCAGAAATATCACATATCTTTCTCCTGTAAGCCATAGACACATCCCAGAACCTCCGGATGGTGTAAAATTTCCTGCAAAGGTTTGTAAGATCTTGATGCTTGTAATTGTTATTTTATCTATATTTAGGAGAAGGATGTATACATCTAGTTTTCCTGCATATCTCAAACTTGTATGTGAAGGTCCAACATCACTTCTCCTATTAAGGTTTGACATTTGGTGACTCGGACATTTATAATGTGCTCTACTTGAACTTGATTGGAAATGCTCCTTGCGCTCTCCAAGTTCAAATTCTTTTTTCACTGTATGATACCTGTTTGAGTTTGGGGAATAGATAATGGGATTTAGAAATGGGGCTGGATTTATGTGGCGTAGCTATTGTTGGATTCTGGGCTCCCCGTATGATATCTTGTCACTGTATGGTGCTTCGCTAATTGTTTTGCTCCAATCTTCTGTGATGTAACTGCAGATCGTAAAGGGCTATGATATCAAACCATTCCCCATACTATGGCATGAAGACAACAGTGGGCGGCGTCAACAAGGCAGAGACAGGCAATGGATCTTGAATGCTTGCTCAAATACATCAGTCGATCCCTCCAATAGATCAAATAACCAACTTCTAATCAAATACATCATTTCAACTTCTAACTTGTACCTTCAAAATCTAGAATTTAAAGCGATGTGGACCCACTTTACTTTGTTATTAAGCTTTCCAGTTTTATCCCTTTCTCTTTCAGTAAAACTCCAAAAGTTGTGGGATTATTGTAGTCATTAGCTAAAAGCAATGCTTAATTTTTTTTGTGTGCAGGCATCAATTACCTGGGGCGATTGCCGGACCACAATTGGGAGAAGCAGCTCATCGTCTAATTAAGAACACTCTTAGCATCAGGTCAAACAATGGAGGATTGCTCGATCAGCCTCCATATACTAACCGTGCTGGTAACAATCATATCTCCAACAGAAGCAAAATGCCTGCTCCTCATGATGGAAGAGGCGGCTATGGTGATGATCAAAACTACCGTTATGGACACAACAACAACTACTACCAACAGGGTGGGCCTCGATATCCAAACCCAATGAATGGCGTCCAAGGACCTCGGCACAACTTTAGACCACCAGAGAGGATACCGCAGAACCACGAAAAACCCCGTGACCTGGGGATGGGAATGTCCACTTTGACACTAGATGAAGAGACCACCCGAGTCAGGCCACCTGCAGTGCTGTTACAGCGGAGGCCGAATTCAGGATTTCTGAAGAACTCAAACCACCAGTATGAGCAGAACGCCGCGGGTCCCATTCCTTCACCACCTACCAAGTGGATCAATACCATACCGGATGGAGTGGCGGGCACTTATTTTAGACAAGAAACAGCCACAAGAAGTGTGAATGAGAAGCAGCAGGTGAAACAGGTTTATCTTATCAAGAACCGGGCAGCTCCGGAAGCTTCAAATGCCGTAGCTGATCCAAGCCACCAGTAGCATTGCAGAGCGGGATGTGTAACTTTTAACATGTTCTCTCTCGTCCAGGGTGTTGTAACATCTCCACCTAAGTCAGCCATTGGATGTTTCGGTCAATTTGTGAGGATGGCATATACCTTAAAGCTGCAGGAGCTGTTAGGGAAAAAGTGTATACAAGTAGAGTTGTTGTAATTCCTGGGTTATTTGTTAGGTCTCTTGATAGGTAGAAAATGTGGATTCTTGTGGAGTTCTATACAGGAGAAGAGTCAGTTAGTTGCGCATGTTTCAGGATAGGTGTAATTATTTTATTAGTATCCTTGTAATTGGTGTTTATTTATGCTTATATCATTTGTGGCAATGTCTCTGTTTTCGTTATTCAAAGACAAACAACTTCTATAAAGATTATCATTTCCATTTCAAAAAGAAAAGAAAAGGATCATTATTTCTCGGGGGAACTTTTGAGCTGTATGACTACTGTGAACGTGACAAGTTCTGCAGGTGGCATGCGGCAAGGCTGTTGGTGACCTGGGGAGGATTTCCTGATGGCGCACAGGGGAGGTGAGAGAAATAACTCATGCTCTTGCTATTCTTGGTATGTATCAAGCTGGAACATGATGGTTTGGTTTGCTCCCCATTTTTTTTTTTTTTGCAGAAGACTAACCATCCTGATCCTCCTTGAGGTGGTTGCTAGGTGTAAAAGAGACTCTCATGCTTGCTAGCTGATTGACACTGCAAGATCTTGAGGAGATTCAACTCTAGAGCTGATTGGGTGGTAAAGTTCAGTACTCTCAAGGTTCTTTGCCCAAGGAGAGGATTGCCATTCTGGTATGTTAATTGTTATCTCTCTGACTCTGTCCTCCCTTGGACAAAAAAAGAAGCTAGCTAGAAGAATCCTGTGACAGTAGTACGTACTTCAAACCGTGTAGTCTATACAATGCTCATAGGAACACACATATAATAGAAGCACACAGGGAGTTGTTATGAATGAGAAGGAGAAGCTAGAAAAAGAACCAGTTGGGAGACACCACCACTAATATATATATATATATAACGATCATTGCAGGAAGTAGCCGCCCAAAAAGAGACCGAAGAAGAGCAGCAGGCTCCCGTATATCAAAATGGCCTTCTGCCCAGAAGTGAGGGCGTTCCCTCCCAGCCCGTACTGCTGGTTCTGGGCGAACCCAGCGATCTCCACGCTCTTGCTCTGGAAGAAGCTCCGAGCAGCTCCGCAGGTCGGGCACCTCCAGTCCCCAGGGAGCTGCTCGAATGGCAAGCCCGGTGGAACCGGGTACGAGGGGTCACCGACGGCCTCATCGAATGTGTACCCGCACGACCTGCACTCGTAGATCCCCGTGTTCAGCACTGCAAACTTCTCCTCCAGCCTCCGCTTGTCGAATTGCTGCTCGATTTCAGTTTCTGAGGGAGCTGATGATAGCTCTGCCGCCGGCTCGCTGGCGGGTTCGGAAGTTGGCGGCTTGTCCTCCTTGGAGACATCAATGGAGGAAACGGCGAGAAGGGAAGGCCTGTGGGGTTTGTGGAGGGAAATGGAGGGTGGCGTTAGTTTGTGGAAGTGGCATTTGGTTGTGGGTTTTGAGTGATAATGGGATGCTGTTGTGAGGTGGAAGGTGAAGGTGGGTCTTGTGGCTGCGGACGCCATGGAACTGGAGAAATTGAAGTTATATGCCTGTTGCTTTTTCAGTGGAGGTTTTTGGCTATGGCGCGAGGGTTGGGGTTCTGGGTGGTGGAGAATTGAAAAGGATCCATTGTAGAGGTCAGGGGAGCATATGCTGCTTGTTTGGGAAGGGAGGCGGATAAGGTGGGGAAGTACGCTCAGATCAGAAGGATTGGAACAAAACATAGTGATGGGCTTGTTGGGCTGGGCTTCTTGGTTGTGGCTGGACCCAACAAGAAATTGGCCAGGCAGTTATTGGGTTAATTGTCAACCTAATCGCTAATATGTTTTAAGGGGTAAATCTTTATTCGCTAAAGATGTGGTAGGTTGGCTGACAATAGAGGTTTTAGGTCAGTGAATAGCCAATAACTGAAAGTCAGTTAGCGGTTAATCGATAATCGATTCAACTATTAGCTAACATAAATTTTAGGCATTCTAATTTGATTTGAATTATGAATTCATGGTTGATGACGGATTAGAACCATTAATGCTAGTATGTTTTTTATGGGATAATATTTATCTCCAACCCGAGTTGGAGGAACTGGCTGCAACCACTAATGTGCCTAATAGGGATTGGACCAAATTTCATTAATATGCTTTCCTTTTCTAACTTATAGACGGAGAGAGCAAATGGCAATTCCTTTTTCTTATACAACATATTTTTTTTAATGAGAAAACCCAAACAAATAATACACAAGAATAAAATAAATTATGAGTTTTTTTATAGTGAACTGGCGCTATTATAATTTAACTAAAAATATTTAAGATACTATATCTTAATTTTTAAGGTTTAGGTTTTCATACAAAATCTCGGCCTGCAAAACTATGCAAAATCGTGATTGTATCATCATATTATGACAAATTTGTCATATTGAATCGTTTATGACACAAATAACAATTTTATGATAGTTTGGACTTCCTAGTGGAATTAACCCTTATTTTAATTCCTTTTAGTGCATTGTTATAGGTAAGAACTATCAAACTTAATAGGTTGTTCGTTGTTGCCCATGCAAAGAGCTAGCATAGACAATTGCTTCGGTATCACCCTTCATCATGAAGAAAATTTGGTTCATTGGTTAGTGATGACATGTGAATGGCTCTATTCTAAACCCCCCGTATTTTGACCAAAAGTGCTTACTTTTTCCATCATTATCGTCATAATGCATTGGATTATTGTTGTGATTGCTTCAAGTGCGTCCTAGAAACATTAGGATTTCTTTTATACAATTGATGCGCTTTTGGGTAGCGTTCTGTGCATTTTCAGGGCTGAGCAGCCTATTGGGCCGCTTGTAAGCCGTAGGGGACATCGAGCCTAAGTTGATGGAGCCAAAATTCGAAGATCGTACATTAAAGAAAATAGGCACCAACGACGGCCTTTTAACTAAAGGAAAGGGCGGTCGTGGTGCCGTTTTGCTGGAGCCAACCACTTCGTTAAAAAGTCGTCTAGAAGCAGCCTGATTCGATACAATGTGTTTGGAGGCTTATGATTGGTTGAATGGCGTAGTGGGGCGATTTTCTCTCCTTGTAAAGCCTAATGGAAAAAAATAAATAAGGCTCTAGAGCTAGAATCGAAGGGAAAACAGACGAGAGGCCAAGGAAAGGTCTTACTTTGCCGACAGAGCAACCCTCATGACTTAGAGCGACACCACCTTCGAGGGAGAATCGACGACTAAATTGGAGCCACTGGGCATGTGTTCCCTGTTTTGGCCGTCGATATCTTGGCGCTCGAGATTTTTTGTTTTTGACAATGAACACCGCGGACACCCTCATCATGGTCGGCTAAGTTCCTTAGTTGCGTAGGTAAGTGACCCCTATGGGTTCTACCCATGTAAACTCAATGATTTGGTTAATACGATTGTTTGATTTTCATATGTGTGATGTTTGATTTCCTCTATTTCATTATTTGTTGATTCTAAACACCACGTTGATGGTGAATCAAACGTCCGTAGGTGACGTGTCTCAAATGGCCGAGCAAAGCGCTCTCGAGCACTATGTGTTGATGGCCGCCAAGTCTAGAAACTAAACGAGGAGAATTGCTCCTCCGACAATGATAATGGTACAAGAGCTAGGCAACTCTCTTGCTAGCATAGAAAAATAAGTTGTTGTCGTAGATAAAGAGGTGCAAGCACTCAAAATGATTCGAAACACTTCTGTCGCACAACTCTTCATTTGCGAGCAATGCATCAAGGATGGTTATGATGGGTACAGTTGCCGGACTATAAGTGGTCCTTTAAGTGAGGACGAGGAGGTCAATTTCTTAAACACCCATTATCCTCAAACGCACGACTTTAATCTCCCCAACTTTGGATATCAGAGATCACAACCTCCCTATTCTTTGAACACTTATAGGAGCTTCAAAAATCGTTTTTCAAGCGATTATCAAACTTGGAGCCAGTTTTCGACATGACAATGACCTCTCTTTGGAGGACAAAAGCCGACCGACTACCCAAAAATAACATCCACCAATGCGTTGTATCTTCATGAACAGTGCAGTCAAAATCGCGCTTTAAAGCGTAAAATCGTACGATTTTACGTTTCTAGGTTAGGAAAACGTTTCAAATCACTAATAAAATCGTATTTTACTCAAAATCAGTCAAAAGCGTTAGTAGAATCATTAAAATCAGATAAAAGCGCGCTTTCATACCGTTTTTATCTGATTCCAAGCAAAGGAGAAAATTGTCTCCGCCAAACAAAAACGAAGCCATTTTGATCACTTCGGACAAAAAAAGGGGGGGGGGGGAAGGGGGTGGATATCAGGCTGAGGTTGCCAAACCACTCTTCCGGAATCCCTAATCCTCCATCTCCAGCACTCCAGCACACTCTGCGCCGCCGCGCAGCCGACCTTCCAGTGAAGTATTCGCCGCCGCCGCAAGTCCGCAATCGTCGTCGCCACCTTCCAGCGAAGCTCTAGTCCGTCGCACTCGATAGCTCCAACGCAGTAGCACCCGTCGCACTCGTCGTCGCCTGTCGCCACTCACTGGCGCCACACCATGTTAGTTTCTGTCTCTATCTTGTCCTACCCCGCCGCCACTTCACCTATGCCTCCTAAATGGTGGGTAAATGCTTCCCCTTCTAAACTCTTAGTCTACCCTGAATATATAACCTAACAGGTATTTCTAGCTAAATTACAACTCACACATTCTCAATAATTTAAACCAACCCAGCAAAATGAAGGAAACTACTTATAATTTCCAATAGGCGTATAACCTACTGGTTTACCTACGTATGCTACTGCTAAATTATGTATATGTGGTGTTTCTAATTGAACCTTTGAGAAACCAAGGGCAGAACGTGAAGCTAATGTTGTGAGAATTTGGTTATTAACTCGTTTGTGGGTTCATTTTATGTTTATGAACTTATTGTTAAGATGTTATGAATTTGCTTTAATTTGGACATGAATTGCATGTATTTATTCACTTGTCTAAACTCCATGCACTCATATTTTACATAATATATGTCGTACTTAACAGATTTTTAACTATTATACATGATGCATAAAAAACTTACGCTTTTACGCTTTGATTCGCCGCTTTTCGATTTTACCCCTTTTCCGCTTTTAGGTAGAATCGCGTGACTGCATTGTTCATGAAGCACAGTGGGATAGTAGAGCTAAACCCAATCCAATATGGGTAAGGAAATCGAATCATGCACCACCAGGTTTCAATAGACGCACTCCATTTAGAGAGAACAATGCACCTCATGATGCCTTGGACGCCTAAAAGTTGATGAGCTTTGTGGATACATTCCAGGAGGTGACTCTTAAAAACATGGATAGCGAATTAGCTTTCTTTCTGGAGCTTCAAAAGACTCAAGCGATAGCCAGAACTCTTAAAAGCAACATAGAAAACAATCCTGATGAAGAGTTTAAGGCACTTGAGGTCAAATCATCTAGTTATGACCACGTCCTAATAATGGAAAAGGCTAGAAAATTAGATAATATGAAACTGGAAGCTAAGGGGGGCTTTTCGCGCATACCAAAAGACGACGCCTACGACACCCCTTATGGGCTGAATTTGGCGCCACTAGACCCTATTTTTAGGCACCCAGAAAAGACCCTCAAAAGCCAGGCCCTCGACCGTTCTGGAGTCCTCTAGGCTTCTTGAGTAGAACCTAAGGTCGTCTAGATAAACAAGGCATGCTAAGAGGAAAATAAGATGGTTGACAATCGTGTATAAGTTCTTGTCTTTTCTTGTTACAAGTCTCCAAGTCTTATTTTCAGGACAAAAGCAAGCAAAGAACGAAACCACTAATGTGGCAACCATCTGGTGCGTGGGTGAGGCAAGCACAAACCAACAAAACTCCTACAAGGAGTATGTCACACCACCTCTCCACGAAAATGAAGCAAGTGACCCCATGAAGTCCCTCGTAGGCACCTTCTTCAAAAGAAGAGGGAAGAAAGAAATTCTACGCCTCCTAAGGACGTGGAATACTTTCTCTACTCGGTAATGACCCCTCTTGATCGTAAACGTGTGTACGAGCATTTTCGTAAGGAGGTCAAAACTGCAATGGCGGTTAGCGCGAGGACCAGTCCTCAACAAAGATGGATTGGAGGCCCCACCATTAAAAGTTCTTTCAATAACGGCGAATGGGGCACCATTTTCAACCCTCCTAGGGATGTTTTTGAAATTGGCCAGAATGCACTCAACAAGTTCATTTCTGCCTTAGGAGGGGAAACAATTGCCATACTAATGTTGGAAGCCCTTACGAAGATATTTGATCCCCTAAGGGCAGTAGGGTGGCTTCTTGAGCATGATCGTGAAAACTCGCAAGCTCACAACAGAAAACATACCTTCCCATATGCAACTCTTAGTACTGTGAACGCTATTCGCTACAGGTTAAATTGTATCCCATGTACTCTCAATGATCATCATGAGATGAGAGTGCTTATCGATCTAGGTCCAATGCTCCCTGGGAGACAATTCGGTTTGTCAACTATTAGGAATGGCGAGGGATTTGAAGGTGGGAATAGGACCCTTTATTTTCTCTTGACTTCGTAGTACTCTCCATGCATAGAGATAGAGACTATTCTATCCTCTTTGGAAAAACCTTCTTAGCCACTTTCGGGCACGTTGATCGATGTTCATAAACATCAAGTTACGATGAAAATCAACAATGCAGAGCATACTATCCAGATGATTACTCCGGAAGAAAAGGAGGAATACAATCAACAATCAAGATAGCAAGCGAGAGTTTGAGGAGATGATATGTAATTTTCATGCCAATATTTACGATTCACCTATGACTCCAAACTTTGCATCGGATCCAACCCTCGATTCACCATGCTCGGATGATCACTTTGGGAAATGACCCATAGACCTTCATTGGTCTAATCAATGAAAAAGAGCACTAGCGATGCCTAGCTCAAAGGCATTAAAGAGAGGGCGCTACTTGGGAGGCAAGCCATGGTTTGTCTAACTTAAAGACACTAAGGAAAAGTACTTGCGAGAGATAACTCGTCTTCTGTTTTCAGCTCTATTACCAATAA